ATAGAAATATCAACTTAGGTAGGCACTCGCCTATAAATTACAGGCCCATGACTGTAATCCTAGCTACTCAGAGGCTGAGATTTGAGGATCAAAGGCAGCCCAGGAAGCAACAACTACTCATAGAAAAAGCTGGAAGTGGCACTGTGGCTCAAAATGGTAGAGCGGTAGCCTTGAGCAAAAGGAGTTCAGCCCTGTCCTAAATCAGCACAGCTAGAAATTGGGAGGAAAACCCTAAGTAGCCCCTCCTCCCTTGAGAAAAAACAAGACTGGACAATGTTTCCCTATGTCACTATTTTCTGGGGGAAAACTCAATATTGGGAGTAGTTTAAGACTCTTAACTTAGAGTGCTGACTGAACTGTCTAGAAGCCACAGTAAAAACAGTTTAGCAGCTTGTTGCAGCCACAGGACCTAGAATACTAGAGGGAGCAAGAAAGTTAAAGTTTCTAAAAGAAAAACCAAACAAACCTCTCTAATTGAATAATTACATACTAAAGATACAATTCACAAAAAGCTTTAAAAGGGCCAAGATCTCTTAAACTTACCCAAATTGATGAACATAGTATATAACAACTTGGCCAGGTGATTATTTTTTCCAGTTTAAAAATCACAGCAAAACATAACAAGGCATACAGAGAAATAGGGAACTAAGACCCAATTAATTGAAATAAATAAAAATCTAGAAACCAGCCCTAAAAAATGAAGATCTAACAAAGAATTTAAAATTGTTTTCAGCCATAAGAAAACAGAGATAAGTAAACAAATTGTTTAACACAAAATGGGTAGTAGGACAGATGGATGATACATGTACACACAAACACAGACACATATATACATACATATATTAATCTAGAATAAAGGCATTCCCCCACAAATACACAGTATAGTTAATAAAAATCAGTATTTAACAATGTTCAATTCCTAATGAATTATATATTGCTAATACGCAGAAGTACAACCAAGTTTTGCATATTGTATCTAACTGCACACATAAAATATATAATCTGAATTGTTAATCGAAGAATAGTAAGTTGCATGTTAAGCCTATATTCAGTAATCTTATAACATAACTTTATTAGCCCTAGTACAATTTGGACATTCTACTAGATTTTCCACATAGGTGATCATGTCACATATAAAGAAATTTTACTTGTTTCATTTCCATTTGAAAGTCTTGTTTCCTTTTCTTGCCTGTGTACTAGCTAAAACAATGTGAAATAGTAGTCATGACAGCAAAAGAAATCCTCTAAAATCTCTGATTTTTTGTTTTTATCATATACGATTTTCATATACGTTCATTTTCTTTCAGACGCCTTTTATCTGGTGAAAAAGCTTCCTTTTAACTTTGCTGAGAATTTTCATCAGGAATGAATACTAGATGCTGACAAATGCTTCTCTTCCATGACTTGACCTGATAATACTCTCTTTTATAGTTAATTAGGCTTTCTTTTCCAAGTAGCCTTCTATTAACACCTCATTTGGTCCTCCATATTTTTTAATATTAATTATTATTTAATATCAATATATTTCATATCTTAGTCTTTACATAGCATTCTAGAGAATTTCATCAGTTTTGCCTATACTTCTTTCTACAGTTTTATATAATTTGCCATGATATGCAACTAATCTGTTGATTTGTTTGTTTTTATGGTAATCAGGGGCTCCAGCTTACACTCTATTTCAACCACATCCAGGCCTTTTTGTTTTACTTTGTTTTTTAGCTGGGATTACAGGTATGCTGCCACACCCAGCAATCTACTGACTCTTTTATTTCAATTATTTTACCTTTTTTCTAAATGTTCGCTTTGGCACTTTATAAATATTACCTGATACTTTCTTCAGTCACTTGTTTCCCATATTTATATCATTTCAATATTTTTCATACAGAAGGTATTTTAAAATCTTTGGCTATTTTAAAGTTTTAGATCAGTTTTTTGTTTATTTTTAATATTATTTTAATATTTTGTTAGCTTGAATTAGCTATACAGAAGGGAATTTCACTCTTACATTTCCCAATGTTTATAATATGCTCCAATCAATCTTACTCCCTATATCACTCCCTTCCTTGAGAAGAGTCTAAAATTGATTTTGCATGCTTTTATTTTTCCTGCTGACTCTTACTCATAACTTTCAATTTAAAGGATGAGTGATTTTTTTCATTGTGATTTCCTACTGCCTAACCATGATACCTGGAGCAGTTTTGTGGCTATAAACCAGAAATGTATTTCTTTAAAAAGGATATGCATATGTATTTCATGGGAGTAGGGATATAAAGGTACAGTTAATAACAAGACTACATTCATTCCACTGTTACACACCTTGGTTTAATATAAGACTTCTTTTAATGGATAGTTCTGGGGATTTAACTCAGGCCTGGAGGATTAATTCAAGACTCTTAGGCTCATTCTTCCACTTTGTAGAATCCTAAACCTTAAGAATGCTGATCTCATATTTGATATGGACATTTGACCCCAGCAGAATACCATCTTTTGCACTCATAACTCACAAATACTCACTAAAGTTTTAACTATTTTATTAGTATATGTGTATGGTGCTCAGAGATTCTCTTTCATTTGGCATGCTTGATAACTGATTAAAAATTATGTTTGTTGTACTGGGCACCAGTGGCTCATACCTATAATCTGGGCTAATCAGGAGGCTGAGATCTCAGGACTGTGGTCTGAAGTCAACCCAGGAAGGAAAAAGCCCCCTGAGATACTCTTATCTCCAACTATGCTAGAAATCAAACTGTGGCTCAAGTGGTAGAGCATCAGTCTGGAATGAAAAACCTAAGGGACAGAGCCCAGGACCCGAGTTTAAGCCCTAGTATTTGCTCACATACACACAGAAAAAATTATTTTTGTCTAATATATCTACAACATGTTTGTACTATAAAAGTACTATAATAAGGTCTTTAAGACTGTCTCCAGATAGTCTTTACAGATGAAGGATATTTACTGATAATATTTTATTTAAAAATCCAACAGATATATCTCCAACAGATATATCTTTACAGATGAAGGATATTTGCTGATAATATTTTATTTAAAAATCCAACAGATATATCTCTATTCAATTTTTGTATTTTATTGTAAAGATGCTGTACAGAGGAGTTACAGTTACATGAGTAAGGTAATGAGCACATTTCTTGTAGAGCATTATTACCCCTTCCTTTTTCTCCTAATATCCCTTCCCTCCTATTCAATATTTTAATCAAATTATATGTCATAGAAAGATGAGTTGAATATTTTACTCATGATATTCGAAAGACTCCAAATTTGGGTGCTCTGAAAGTTTTCTAATTAGAGTTTCTAATGATATTATCAAATTACTTGATATCTAAAAGGGCAAAACACGTTCTTTCTCATATTTAAAATTCTCATTAGTAGTATAGCTATTCAAAACGCTGAACACATTCCAAATTTAGCTTGACGCTTCCTACACACATGATTACAAGATTCTGCTCAAATAAAAATTGCTGGCTTAGAAAATGAAAGTATCATATTTGCACTCCCACATGCAGCTAAACTGGTTTAGTTCTACAGATGAAAACCCACAACCTGCTTTTCACTATGTGGTTTCTGAATAATTTGTCAATAATTTGCTAAGTCACTCTCAAATAAACTGCAATATATAGTACCAACAATTCTGCAGTGATGCTATAACTCTAGCTGGTTTTTAAAATTCCCAAAATTGAATGATTTATGTCTAATAATCACCTAAATGTTCAATTAAAACTGAAGTCATCCATTTATTCATTCATGGAAGCCATAGAAAATATGATACTGAAAGAGAGCATTCAAAATAAAAATATTATAAGGAATATGAATTTGAAAGTATGATTGTATCTTGCAAACGGTGTTAACTAAAGCAGAGACTAATTTTACAAGTTATCTACAGCATTTATTAAGGAAAGTAGAATTAACTCAATTATAGCTTTCAAGTGGTTCTACATTTAAACTGAAATATTTCTAGAATTGATTTATTCTATACTAAACACATGTGTTCATTTGTTTTTGTTCATTTGCTAGAGAAGAGCTTTGAACTCAGAGCCTTGCACTTAACTTGTCTTTACTCTTCTGGTCCTAGACCACTTGAGCCACACCTCCAATCTGGCTTTTTTTTCCGGGTTAATTGGTGATAGAACTGAACTTTTCTGCCAGACTGGCCTTGCACTGAGTTCCATGGGTCTCAGCTCCTGAATAGCTAAGTTTATAGGTGTTAAAAACAGGCACCTGTACTACTATCTTCTTCCTCTTTTCTATTTTTATGTCTTCCTGTAGTACTATAAATCAAATCTAGGGCTTCATCAATAGTTGACAGGCACTCTATCAGTGAGCCACATCCCAAGTCCTATATTCTAATACATTCTTTATCTAGACACCTACTAAAGAAAAAACACTCAAAATGCTAACTAATGAAACATTACAGAAACTATTAGTAGGTAGGATTATTTTGTCCTTAATAATTTAAAGTAAACTCAAATGTTCATTTTTTTTCCAGAGAAAAGACTGATAAATGATGATAATTGTGAAATAGTTCACAGAATACAAGTAAGAAAAATCATTTCAACTATTTTTATTGCATTATAAGGTGTAGCTCAAATGGTAGAACACATTTTTAAATTGAAAAAGCTAGGCTTGAGCAACAGTCCAAACCCAATTACCGGCACTAACGAACTGATTAACTAAATATATAAATAGACGAATTATTTACCACATTATTTTACCTCATTCTCTAATAAAATTTTCAAAGACATTACAATCACTTATATGACAGAAAATGAAAAGTTAATAGTGCATTTCAAAATCTAGTTTATAAACCTGTTTATATAACAAGAAAAGCTTAAAACTGTCAATATATTTCCCTATTGACATTTGATATGCACCTACCCTATAGATGCTCAAATAAAAATTAAAATTAAAAAATTAAAAATAAGAAAACCTGACATACAGCATCCTGTATTCATAAGAAATATATAAAATCCATCATTTAAACATACCTTAACTATTTCATCAATGAAACAAATGTGTGAAACAGGATCTCTCTTCTTAGTTAATACTTTCTGTAGATGTTGTACCTAAAAGGTAGTTGAAGGAAAAAGCAAGAGATAATAAAGCTTAGGTTCTAGAAAAAGCAAGGTGCTTTTAATTCACAATTACTATTACTATTAATTATTAAGTTAAACCATAAGTAGCATTACTACTATCTAGTACAAATAAACATATTTGTACAGGAAAGGTAATGACATGATATATGCTTTACATATAATCAGCTACCAGAAATGCTGTGAATATTCAGAGACTTAAAATAATTTGCCCCCAATCACACAACTAAGAATAACCAGGAGTCAATTTATAATTCATATTCTTTCTAATCCTCTGATATAGTTACCTGTCCACAAGCAGCACAAATATGATCCATTAGTTTCTCCATATTGGTCCAGAGGGAAGCTCGAAAAGCTGCAGTATTTCCTGGGGTTGGCATGGTAGATCGTCCAGGACCCCCTGGTTAAATAAAAAAGTAACATAACAAATAAAAAGTTTCCAATTAGGAATAGTGGCTCACTCCTATAATCCTAGCTACTCAAGAGATATTCAGCAGAAGATGTCTCAGTTCAAGGCCAACTAGGATAACACGTCCCCAAGACTTCATCTATATTAGTAAGCTGGGTATTGGAGGTGGGTGCTTGTTATTCTAGTTACATGGGAGGCCATAGATAGGAATATAGAAAGCTCAGGCTGACCTAGGTTAAAGTCCACAACCATACCTAAAAAACAACAAAGGCAAAAAGGGCCAGCGCATAGCTCATGCAGTAAAGTACCCGCTTAGCAAATGTAAGGTCCTAAGTTAAAACCATAATACCACCCCCTCCCCAAAAAAAACCCACAAATAGCCTAAATATAACAAAATGTTACAAAAAGCATATAGAAGCAAAAAAAAAGGTTATTCTTAAGAAAGAGAAATATTTTGAACATCCATGAAAGAGCCAGTTACTTATATATGAGATAAAAATCTGATTAGTCTCAGAATACTCTAAGACTAAAATCTAGAGGTCAGTAATGCAATGTTTTATATTAGAGGGAAATTTCCTATTACCTTGGACTCATCTTTCACGTGGCAGGACATAAAATTCTTTCTTTCTTTGCCTTTATGCCTGAACTCAAGGCCTCAAGCTCTAGCTTGGATTTTGTTTTGTGTGCGTGTGCATGTGTGTGTTTTGTTTTTGTTCAAGGCTGGTATTCTGCAGTTGAACCACACCTCTAGGGGTTCACTACATAAGCAGTCCAACCTCATTAGTAGATTCCTTCATGATTACGGTATATTTTAATAAAACATAAACAGCTTCCTTCTGTTCTTAGTCATATTTCCCTTGGTCTATCTCCACGGCAGATGGCATCTTAAGTCTGATGATTATCATTCCATGTATGTATACATTTTTATTACACATAGACCATAATCATATATTAACATGTACAAAATAGTGTTTTATTCTTAGCTTTAGATATGATATCATAATGTATCTTTCTGCAATTTACTTCCTCTAGTTTATTAACATGTCCTCAGCTTATAATAAGCTTGGATATCCATTTTTCTACCCAAACAAATGTCATTTTCACTAGTACACACAATAGTGTAAAATAAATGTTTATGGGGCATATTTTTATAAAAGAAATAATAAAATATAAGGAATAGGCAAATTTAACCTTACAGATCAAATTGAAAAACTTGAAAGTTTACATATAAATGTTTCTGCTTTCATCTAGCACTCAGTTCTTACATTTTGCCAGATGCTGAGAAATAGTACCTTAATTAGGTTGTATTTTAATTTGTAATTCATGCTCTAAAAAGAGGCTGAACATCTTTCACATGTTGAATCAGTATGCTCTCCTGTGTTTTGCCTGTTCATAGTTTTTAATCTTTCTTTTTTTAAAAACATAGGGGCTTGATGCATAGCTCAGATCTGCCTTGAATTCACAATCCTCCTAACTTAGCCCCATGAATACTGGGATTATAAACATGTACTACCATGCATAACTGTCTTTATCCATTTTTCCCTTGAACTGTTTTATCTTTTCTTTACTGCATTATAGGCTTTTCTGTTCATACATGTAAGATAACATTTTTTTCTTTTAAAATTGAATCATTATGTATTTTAAATTTTTGTGGGTTTTTTTAGTTTTGTTTTTTTGGGGGGGAGGGGAGGCTTGCGGTTGTGGGGCCTGAACTCTGGGCCTGGGCGCTCTACAGCTCAAGGCTAGCACTCTACCACTTGAGCCATAGTGCCACTTCTGGCTTTTTCTGCTTATGTGGTACTGAGGAATGGAACCCAGGGCCTCATGCATGCAAGGCAAGCACTCTACCACTGAGCCACCTTCCCAGCCCAATGTATTTTAAAATTTTGAAGCAACCTTACATCTGTAGAAAATCTGGAAGTATGATTTTAAAACTTCCCTGAAAATAAGTCATTAACCTAATGTTCCTTCATTCTTAGAGTACTTTAATGTATATTTCCAACAAATTCTCAATAAATTCAAAATAGCCAATCAAGATGAGAAAATTCATATTCACTATCCAGTAATATTGAATAAATAAAATAATGATTATTCTTTTTAAAACTAAGAAGGGACTGATGCTTAAGGTTTCTACATTAAATCATGGTATCCACTCCTCAAAAGAAGATAATAAGGCAGCTTTAAACTCTTTATTCTTTCAACAAAAGAGCCCCACATTAAAATTGACAGCATGTGAATAATTGCTTTTATTTTCCCCCCTATTCTTGACAACACAAGAGGGAATGAGATTAAACAGCTCCTGGAAATTTAGACATGAGATCAAACTTTCTGAGAATAATTGCTGGGAAAAGTTGAGTGTGAAATCTTCTCTGGTGATTTCTTTTCAAAGAGCTCCTTCAGGAATAGTCTTAATATGAATCTACTCAAAGGCTAGAGCTAACCTGAGAAAATCTCCTTGGGACATAAGATTCTTTTATCTCTTTTTATCTTATGCAACTTATTTCTGAGTTACAGATACTTAGTATTACTTAATGTCACATTTTCATAGTAAATAAAAAGATAATAAATGTTTGCAAATCTCTTTGTATTAAACACGTATTAGGAACTGTCGTTTGTTCTACATGAGTTATTTTTTTCTCCACAACAACTCTGATACTTATAGAGTCTCAAAACAGGAAGAGAATACAAGGAGAGAAAAACTAAACACAATAAACATACATAACAATTTGAAATTTTTCTGCACACTGACAAAAGAAAATGGAGAAATAGAGCTCAACAAAAAAATGGAGAGTCAATGTAAATTTGTTTGTGTTTAACCATAAGAAGACAGAATAAGACAAGTGACTCTGATGGAAGAGATGCAAAGAAGGAAAAATTGTCAGTGCAGAAAGAAGGCATCTGTTAAAGCAATACCCTGGAGTATTAGAATCAAATACACAAGTACAGTACTCTTTGCTAGGAAAATAGAAAGAGTATCAGGGGAAAAACGGAAGGATGGAATTATAACAGTTAAGGGAGAGGTGCACATGGTTAGTATATGGCTTTTCCTATCTTCTATATAGAAGTTTTTTGTGTATGTGAATGGCATTATTAAGTGTCTTGGTAGGAAAAAGGTGAACTCTGCTAATGCAAGGCTATTCCTCTCCTTCTACAATGTCTCTTCCTTACCCACTTTACTCTGCCACAGATGTAATGTTCCCAAAGGTTTTATCAGCTTCTATTTCCTTGGTCATTATTCCCATTACTCTTTTTGAATATGAGAACTACCACAAGGAAAAGTCCAGAGGCTATAATAGAAATGGCATTTCTGAAAAAAAAAATCTTTCCCAATAAAAGGGATATGGGAGGGAAGATAAGGATTTTAGAAAAATACATGTTTTTTGGGGGGGATGGGGAAGCTGGATGTTTCTGCATCTGTTTCTTCTCAAGTAAATGATGCTACAGTTTACACATCTTTATCTAGAAGTTCTGAATATATCAACTGGCCAAATCAACTCACAGATTATATAAAAAATATAAATAAATTCTGAAACAATTTCTTCTCTCATTTTCTGTCTACTAAAAAATGAGTCATTAGACTGCTTTGAAACATGAGTGTTTCATATACTATTCAAAGGATTTTTCAGTTATAAATAAATAAAGAAGATAAATATAAACCATATCCATACCTCTGACAGCTGACTGGGAAGGCTGAGTCAAAACTTTGATGTCTAATGCAGTGTTGATATTCTCTTCTAAAGTAGCACAATATCCATCCACGACACTGGTAATAGTATCCTTCAAAGTTCCAAGATTATAGAAAACCTGAAGAGCTGTTCCCACTTGAGTGGGATTCTTTAAAAGAAAGAAAGAAAGAAAGAAAGAAAGGTGAGGTAGAAACATATAAGGAGGAAACAAACAAAATCAATTCAAATCTATAACTTCAACTGGTATGTCAGCAGCTAATATCATTATTTCTAAATTATCAAAGACAACAACAAAGATCATTTGGAACAAATACTTTTAATCATTATTTACTTCATAAAAGACAAAATTAAATACTATGCCTGTAATTCCCCCTCTTTCTCTCTTTTCCCTTTATTTTCCTTCTTTAGAGAATAACAACTTTAAAAGTCTGTTGTATGATATTAAAATCCCCACATGGCTCCCCATAAGGGGAATATATGTATGAATTCTATGGAGTTCACTGAGGGCTGAGATATAAAGAATGATACAATTTTTTATATTTCATTCATTCACTAATTCAAACTAGAAATATTTATATAGTGCCTACTGTGTTTAGATCATAGTTCAGAGTGCTAGACTAAATTAAATCTCTGCCATCATGGTGCTTCTATTTACTATGAAATACATAAACTAGATTATCATATTGTGACAGAGAGTAAGAAAAAGTGACACAGAGTAAGAGTAGGAATGAGAGTTTATTAGAGAAAGAGGAGTAAGAGAATGAATGGTTTTGGAAGGTGATACTTAAAGAGAACTTTATATTTTTTGTGAGAAGGACGCTAAAGAGGGTATAAGAAATCACTGATCTCTGTATAGTTATTATATTAGGAAAAGTACTTGGATAGGTATGTGTTTCATATGCTGGTTAAACTGTAGAAGGCCATGATAGTATCCACAACAGAGAGAAGCAGAGAATGGAGTGAAATGAGGAAGGGAAGCTACCAATTATCACAATAATTCCAGTGTTCTTAATTAGATTTGTTGTTTAGTAAAAGACTAAATCAACAGATACACGCTACTACAACAACATACATGACCAAATAGCTAAAATTCTACATTCATTCATGACTCAGTGCCTCAGATACAAATATAGTCACGCACCATTGTCTCACATCTGTGATCCTAGCTACTCAGGAAGCTGAGATCTGAGAATCACAGTTTGAAGCTAGCCAACAGAGGAAAGAAAGCCCATGAGCTCTTACCTCCAATTTAGCTACCAAAACACCAGAAGTGGAGCTAAAGCTCAAATAATAGAGTGCTAGCCTTAACCACAAAAAGCTCAGGGACAGTGTCCAGGCCTTGAGTTCAAATCCCAGGCCTGGCACATGCACACATACATACATGTATGCTCAAGCACATACACACCGTTAAATTATTTCACTAAATTGCTTTCTAGACTGTCTATAAACAAGGATATTTCAAATCTATTTGCTAGTATTTTAGAATATTAGTAGATACACTACATATTACACACACACTTAAATTATTTCATTAAACTTTTCTAGACTGTCTATAAACATAAGGATATTTCAAATCTATTTTCTAGTATTTTAGAATATTAGTAGACATACTACATACTATACATACACTTAAATTATATCAGTAAACTGTTTACTAGACTGTCTATAAACATAAAGCTATTTAAAAATCTATTTGCTAGGATTTTAAAGTATCAGTAAATATACTACATATTACCCCCTGCCCCTCCTGGACTGGGTACCAGGCTCATGCAAAGGAGACTGAGACTTAAAGGATTGTGGTTTGAAGCCAGTCCTGGGAAGGAAAGTGCATGAGACTCCAAGCTAGCACCAGAGCCTTGAGTTCATCACACCCCATCCCCTCCAACGGACAGATGGGAAGAAAAGTGAATAGACAAAATATTTTACATACATGTGCGAATATATAATAAGGTTTGGGAAGGGGAGAATGCAGAAATGATGGAGGAAGGAAGGAAGCAAGGAAGGAAGGAAGGAAGCATGGAAGGAAGCATGGAAGGAAGCATGGAAGGAAGGAAGGAAGGAAGGAAGGAAGGAAGGAAGGAAGGAAGGAAGGAAGGAAGGAAGGAAGGAAGGAAGCAAGGAAGGAAGGAAGGAAGGAAGGAAGGAAGGGAAGGGAAGGAAGGAGAGAGGGAAGGAGGGAGGGAGGGAGGGAGGGAGGGAGGGAGGGTGAGGAGGAGAGGGGTGGGAAAAGGGAAAGGGAGAGGGAAAGGGAGAGGGAGAGGAAGGAATAAGAGGAAATGAGGTTGATGAATAACAATTCTCAATTGAGATTTATTTTTATTAAGCAAGAAAAAGAAGCAAATAAATATTATTTCTATTAAAAATAATCAAAATATATTTTATTCATAAAGTGCTTTGTTAAATGGCAACTCCTTTGTACACTACTTTTAAGTAGTTAAGATAATTTTTAAAAATTTTTAAAATGTTCTAATAAAGGTCTGTGGCATAGATTAAGTAGTACAGTGCCTGCATAAGTAAGTGTGATGCCTTCAAACTCTAATACCATAAAAAAGAGAAAGTAAGCTATTTCATATAGAATTATTAACTGAAAACATGGTATAATGTCTGTTTTTACTGTTGCTATCTTCGTTTTTTCCTTTTCCAAAGACGGATATTTGTGTGTGCATGTGTGTGTCTGTGTGTGTGTGTGCGTATACGTAAAACATTTTAACAGAGATTAAGAATCAAAATAGGGCAGCAGAAAAAGGAATTTCCCATATCACTATTCAAAAATATTCTTTATCCAAGAAAGCATCTGTGGAAAAATTTCAAAGAATAGCTATATCTTCTGAGGTAAATACATTTGTTGTTGTTGTTGTTGGTCATGAGGCTTGAACTCTGGGCCTGAGTGCTGTCCCTCAGCTCTTCAGCTCAAGGCGAGCGCTCTACCACTTGAGCTACAGCGGGTTTTCTGGTGGTTATTGGAGACAAGAGTTTCACAGACTTTCGTGCCCGGGCTGGCTTTGAACCATGATTCTCAGATCTCAGCCTCCTGAGTAGCTAGGATTACAGGCGTAAGCTACCGGTGCCCGGCTCATATTTTTAAATTATATTCATTGTCTTTACTATTCTTAAAGGACATGAAAAACATAGCTTCTCCATATACTGAATAATTTCAGTGTTTATTATGTGAAAGTACATTGTAATGTTTATGAGTTCATTAATTGAAAAACTTGTAAAGTCTTATTTCATATGAAAGATCTAGCTAAAATAAACCAGCTGTCATCATCATTTGGGGGGGGGGGGGGGGGGGGGAAGGGTTGTAGAGACAAAACTCAGAGCCTTGGCACTGTCCCTGAGCCTCTATATGCTCAAGGCATATAGAGTTAAGCCACAGCACCACCTTTGATTTTTGAGTGGTTAACTGGAGATAAGAGTCTCACAGGGACTTTTCTTCCTAAGCAGGCTTTGAACCTCAGATCTCAGCCTCCTGAGTAGTTAGGATTACAGGCATGAGCCACCAATGTCTGGCTAGTTAGCATCATTCTAATTTGCAAAATTAACTTCCAAAACACCTCAAAGTATGAACAAACATGTAATTATTTAAGAAGCATGTAGTATAAAATTATTCATAAGAACTGTAATTGACAATTCATAGGATTCTAGAGATAATTTTAAACTTTCTGATGAAAATAGCCACTTTCTCAATCAATGCCAATAATTCACACTCACAGCTTAATATAAATATATCAATTGTTAGTCAAGAGGTACAATTTATAGATTCATTTGAAATAAAATTCTTAAGAGTAACACGGGTATCTAAATTATATAAATATAACTATGAAATATAATAAAATGAACCTACTTTGATATATAAATTACATTGTTAAACCAAATATTATTAGTACCTATAAATTTCCTCTGGTCCCAAGCCTCACCTCTCCAAATATTATCACTATCATAATTATAATTTCTCCTGCTGCGAACTTGACATTATTTGGTGTCCAATTTCTTATGCTCATCTTATTCACAAAACTCTTCCATATTGTTACAGGTAGCAGAAGTTGATTCATTTTTATTGTCATCTTGTATTCCATTGTAGGAATTTATCTTACAATTTACTCATTCTACTGTCAACACAAAAAGTTGTTTCTACTTCTAGGAATTTCAATTAATGCTGTTGTGAACATTTTAGCAAAGAGTATTTAGTGGCCATGTATGCATATGCATTCATGCAGGGTAGAGTAGAATTATCGAAATATGAGATACTAATATGCTTAATTTTGTAGATACTGGCATTTTTCACACGTATAAAAAAATTAATGTCATACCAGACATACAGGCATTGTAGGTGTTCTATGAATTTGCCAAAAATTAATTAAAACAATCAGTTCCTTTAAATTTCCTTTTTCTTTTGGGAGAGCACTCTTGTTTTAATTAAGATATTATACTGGTATCACTGTGTCATTCCTATCTCAGGTTGAAAGCCATGTATATTTGACCACTGAAATTTTCAAAAGATACCCATTACCAGATTAAAGAACTTGCATTCTTAGTCTGCTACGAGAATTTTAATCACAGATTAGTATTTTTGCTGCACATATTTATAGGATCTTCCCCCACTTATTTAAGAAATTACATTGCACTTCTGAACTAAAGCTCAGTAAAGTTGAATTATCATTTTTAGATATTCCTGCTTATAATTTGCTTAGCATTTTTGTATCAATTTTGGTGAGAGTCAGCTAGTAATTTTCCTTCCTTATAATATCCTTATTTTGATATCAAAGTTATCCTGGCCTCATGAAATAAGTATGTTCCTTCTTTTTCTCAATTTTTGAATATAATGTATATAATACTGGTTTGTTTATTCTATAATTTTTGGAAGAATTAAGCCTGTGAATTTATCATTCCGTTAGATTTTTCTTAGAAGGAAGGTTTTTAATGATGAATGCTATTTTGGTAATTGAAGGAAAACTATTCAGACATCTATTTTCCTATTGCTATTTTTCACAAGGTGTTTTCCTAGAAATTTGTTGTTTTCATCTCAATTTTCAGATTTTATGTAAAGTTATACTTAATGCCATTTCATTATCTCTTCAGATTTGTTAGATATATTATTAGACCATTCTTCTTTTGTGTCTTTTCCCCCCTGCAATTTGGGGGCATTTA